AGCAAGGACCTACAGCCAAGACTACTCTACCCAGCCAGGCTATCAATTAAAACTGAAGGTGAGATAAAGAGCTTTCCAGGCAGGAAAAAACTAAAGGAATTCACCACCACCAAACCAGTATTATAAAAAATATTGAAGAGACTTCTCTTTAAAATAAGAAGAAGAAGAAGAAGAAAAATAACATAAAGGAATAATAAAATGGCAACAACTATATATCTATCAATAATCACTTTAAATGGAAATGGATTAAATACTCCAATCAAAAGACATAGGGTAGCCAAATGGTTAAGAAAACAAGACTCATACATTTGCTGTCTTCAAGAGACCTACTCCAGATCAAAAGACACACACAGACTGAAAGTAAAGAGATGGAAAAAGGTATTTCGTGCAAATGGAAATGAAAAATAGAAAAGCTGGGGTAGCAATACTTAGACAAAATAGACCTTAAAACAAACGATATAAGAAGAGACAAAGAAGGGCATTACATAATGATAAAGGAAGATCAATCCAATGAGGAGATAACTCTAGTAAATATTTATGCACCCAACATAGGAGAACTTAAATATATAAAGCAAATACTGACAGACATAAAGGTAGAGATCGACAACACAGTCATAGTAGGGGACTTAAACACCCATTGACATCACTGGACAGATCTTCCAGACAGAAAATCATAATGCCTTAAATAATACACTAGACTAGATGGATTTAATTGATATTTTTAGAGCCTTTCACCCCAAAGTAGCAGAATATACATTCTTTTTGAGTGAGCATGGAACATTTTCTAAGATAGACCACATGTTAGGCCATAACACAAGTCTCAGTAAATTTAAGAAGACTGAAATCATATCAAGTGTCTTCTCCAACCACAATAATATGAAACTAGAAATCAATTACAAGAAGAAAACTTAAAAGTACACAACACATGGAGGCTAAACAACATGCTACTAAACAATGAATGGGTTAACAATGAGATCAAGGAAGAAATCAAAAGATACCTTGAGACAACTGAAAATGAAAACACAATGACCCAAAAATCTATGGGACACAGCAAAAGCAGTCCTAAGAGGGAAATTCATAGTAATACAGGCCTGCCTTAAGAAACAAGAAAAATCTCAAATAAACAGTCTAACCTTGCACCTAAAGGAATTGGAAAAAAAGAAACAGCAAAGAAAGCCCAAAATGGGTAGAAGGAAGGAAATAATAAAAATCAGAGTAGAAACAAATGAAAGAGTCTAAAAAACAATACAAAAGATCAATGAAACTAAGAGCTGGTTCTTTGAAAAGACAGACAAAATTGATAAACTTTAACCAGACTCATCAAGGAAAAAAGAAAGGAGACCCAAATAAATAAAATCAGAAATGAAAGAGGAGAAGTAACAACTGACTCCATAGAAATACAAAGGATTATAAGAAAATATTACAAGCAATAATATGCTAACAAACTGGACAATCTGGAAGAAACACACAATCTATCAAGACTGAATCAAGAAGAAACAAAAAGTCTGAACTGACCAATGACTACTACTGAAATCTAATCAGTAATCAAAAAAATCCCAAAAAACAAAAGTCCTGGACTGGCTGCCTTCACAGGTGAATTTTACCAAATATCTGAAGAATAATTAACAGCTATTCTCAAACCATTTCAAAAAATTCAAGAGGAGGGAAGGCTCCCAAACTCATTCTACAAAACTATCATTACCTTGATTCCAAAACCAGACAAAGACATTACAAAAAAAAAAAAAAAATTATAGGCCAATATCCCTAATAAACATAGGTGCAAAAATCTTCAACAAAATATTAGCAAACTAAATTCAGCAACAGATTAAAAAGATCATACACCATGATCAAGTTGGATTTATTCCTGGGTTGAAAGGTTGGTTCAATATCCACAAATCAATTAATCTGGTACATCACATTAACAAATTGATGGATAAAAATCATATGATCATATCAACAGATGCAGAAAAAAATGTTTGACAAAATCCAGCATCCATTTATGATAAAACTCAGCAAACTGGGAATAGAGGAACCATATCATACCTCAACATAATAAAGACCATATATGAAGAACCCATAGCTAATATCATACTCAATGGAGAAAAGCAAAAAGCGTTTTCCTTAAGATCAGGAACAAGACAAGGATGTCCACTTTCACCACTTTCATTCAACATAGTAATGGAAGTCCAAGCCACAGCAATCACACAAGAAAAAGAAATAAAAGGCATCCAAATTGGAAAGAAAGAAGTAAAACTGTCATTATTTGCTGATGACATACTATATATAGAGAAAACCCTAAAGATTCCACCAAAAAACTGTTGGAACTGGTAAATCAATTCAGTAAAGTAGCAAGATACTAAATTAACATTCAGAAATTGGTGCATTTCTATACTTCAATAAAGAACTATCAGAAAGATAAATTAAGAAAAGCAATCCCATTTACAATTGCATCAGAAAAATAAAATACTTAAGAATAAATTTAACCAAGGAAGTAAAAGACTTGTATTTGGAAAATTATAAGTCACTGAAGAAAAAAACTGAAGATACAAATAAATGGAAACATATACCATGCTCATAGATAAGAAGAATTAACATCGTTACAATGTCAGTATTACTCAAAGCAATCTACAGATTTAATGCAACCTCTACCAAAATACCAATGGCATTTTTCACCGAACTAGAGCAGTCCTGAAATCTAAATTAAACCTTAAAAGATCCTTAATGTCACGGCAATCTTGAGAAAGAAGGACAAAGTTGGAGGTATCACACTACCTGATATCAAACTATACTACAAGGCTCTAGTAATCAGAAAACAGCATGGTACTGGCATAAAAACAGACACATAGATCAATGGAACAGAACAGAGAACCCAGAAATAAATCCATTGTCTTTATGGTCATTTAATCTATGACAAAGGAGGCAAGAATATACAATGGGATAAAGGTAGTCACTTCAATAAATGGTGTTGGGAAAATTAAATGGATACATGCAAAAAATGAAACTGGACCACCTTCTTACACCATATACAAGAGTAAACTCAAAATGGATTAAAGACTTAAATATAAGACCCCAAACCATAAAACTCCTAGAAGAAACATAGGCAGCAATCTCTCTGACATTGCTCTTAGTAATATTTTTTCTGATATAGCTCCTTGAGCAAAGGAAACAAAAGAAAAAATAAACAAATGGGACAACATCAAGCTAAACAGTTTTTGCACAGCAAAGGAAACCATCAATAAAACAAAAAAACAACTTACCGAATGGGAGAAGATACTTGCTAATGATACATCTGGTAAGGGGTTAATATACAAAATTTATAGAGAACTCATATAACTCAACACCAAATAAAACCCCCCAAAAACAAACAAAACATTCCCCAAAAAATCCAATTATAAGAACGGGCAAAGGACCTGAATAGGCATTTCTTCAAAGAGGATATTCAGATGGCCAATAAACATACGAAAAGATGCTCAAGATCACACTAATCATCTGATAAATGCAAATTAAAACCACAATGAGATATCACTTCACACCTGTCAGATGGCTATTGTAGATAAATCAAAAACAAGTGTTGGTGAGGATGAAGAGAAAAGAGAATTTTCGTGCACTGCTGGTAGGATTGCAAATTGGTTCGGCTACTATGGAAAACAGTTTGGAGGTCCCTCAAAAAATTAAAACTAGAACTATAGAACCAAAACACAAATTCAAAAAGATATATGCACCCCTATTCGTTAATATACAAAATTTATAGAGAATTCATATAACTCAACACCAAAAAAAACCCCAAAAAACAAAACAAAACAACATTCCCCAAAAAATCCAATTATAAGAACGGGCAAAGGACCTGAATAGGCATTTCTTCAAAGAGGATATTCAGATGGCCAATAAACATACGAAAAGATGCTCAAGATCACACTAATCATCTGATAAATGCAAATTAAAACCACAATGAGATATCACTTCACACCTGTCAGATGGCTATTGTAGATAAATCAAAAACAAGTGTTGGTGAGGATGAAGAGAAAAGAGAATTTTCGTGCACTGCTGGTAGGATTGCAAATTGGTTCGGCTACTATGGAAAACAGTTTGGAGGTCCCTCAAAAAATTAAAACTAGAACTATAGAACCAAAACACAAATTCAAAAAGATATATGCACCCCTATGTTCACTGCTGTGCTATTTACAATAGCAAAGATATGCAAGCAAATCTAAGTGCCCATCAAAGGACGACTGAAGGAAGTTGTGGTACATATATACAATGGAAAGAATAGGTGTAGTACAGGTCCATCTTTAGATTGCTTTACCTACAACTGTTCTAGTTAGCAGAGATAGAAGCAGTCATGTTAGTAGTTTTGGTGGTGAGAAGCTAAGTTAGTTCCCATCTGATAACTTCTATTTTCTTTGTAAAGTTAGAGATGAAGTCATCTGATGAATGCTGATGGGAAGTGAAGGACAGACGTTTGAAATAATAGCTTTTCACTTTTCAGAAATTTGACTTTAATCAGAAGTCATCTGATGAATGCTATGGGAAGTGAAGGACAGACGTTTGAAATAATAGCTGACAGTGGGAGAAGCATCCTAAAGAAACATAGTGGGACTGCTATGTGCAGGAAAAAGATTCATTCATATAATCTACCAGGTACAAATATATGCTCCATAACTAATATACACTATCTACCAACATTATTATTATTAACATTAGTCATTATTATGTAGTAACTGGCCAGACAGAAGAGTCTACTCTGCCAGCCTTGTAGACAAAAGATTACAAACCACATCAGTGGGAGTTTGTATAAGACTTGTAGCCTTTATGAACTCTGATAAATAATGCTGTAATATAACTCATCATTTATCACGATATGTCTGCTATTAGTCCTTACATTTTTATGTATGTTGGTTTTGTCAAAATTTATAATGGAAATTGAAACCTCTTTGCGTGATGGTTTTTCTCTCCCAATAATTAAAAGAAACGTATCTTACAAAAACTAACTGGTATTAAAAGTAAACATTTTATTATATAACAGGAGTAAACGTTTTTGAACATTTATATCAACAAAACCAAAAGCTATTCTGGGCACAATGAGAAATTTTTACAATCAAAACTACCTTTCACTTTTCAGAAATTTGACTGAAAACAAGTGGTTAAATGTGCTACAAACAGACAGGACCAAGTCTGTCTGTTCCGGCAGCTGAACAAAGTGTGAGTTAGGGAACCACTGCCCTGAGGGTGACTGAAGCAGACAGGGAGGAAGGGAGCTCACAAGCAGGATGCTCAGACTCAGGCCGAGAGTCCATCTATGATCTGGTTCCCGTCAGTCTGACAAGTCACTCTGATCCAGCACGATTATCCTGTGTGCATGTTTTTTAAAGAACAAAAAAGGGAGTTTTAAGTTGGCATGTTTTTTCAATAGACAACAGCCTCTTTCTGTTCAACTGAATTCAAGGGAATTTTAATTTTTTTTAATTTTTAAAAAATGGCTGAAAAGCAACTGATGGCATTTTCTGTACTCTTTCCTCCTAAAACTGCTCTTGTACTAACTCCACCGATTACTTAATCCAAGTCAGTATTAACTTCACCTTATGTTTTAATTAGGTATAAACATCAACATTTTAAAAATTGAGCAACAGTAAATTCGAGCCTTTGTCATAAATGTTTATGATATTTATGTTTATGCTGGTAAATGCTTAAAGTCTGTTCATGTTGTCTATAAATAGTGAACTTTGACCTACAAACATCTGATATCTCATTACCTGGATGGTTCTGACCAACCCAGCCGCTTCCAAAAGCAAGGTTTTAGTTCCTCTTGATGAAATATAGAAGGAAGAAAAAACAACTTGATTACTTTCTAGGTGAAAGGGTGCTGGTATTCAGAAGTCACATTAGTGCTCTCTCTAGTTTAAAGTGGACTATTTTACCCCTAATAGTTGTTTTCTCCTACAAAGATAGACTTTCTCTAAAAACAGTTAATGGACTTCTCTTAATATTCTGCAGCTCCCTGTCATAGCTATGGACACTATGATGCTAACTCATAAAGTCCCTGTATTATATTCCCAATGAATTCAATACTAGTTTAATGCTCACACACTCTGGGATCTGTCCCAGTCAGGGTCCTGAGGAAAGAGAATGCACACTCAGGCCCCTTAATGAAGTGACTACTGAGAGCGATGTAGTCAAAGTTAATGGAGCAAACAAGGGGTAGCAACCAATGACTAGCAGCAGCGGGAAGCCACTTATCACTCCTAAGTCTGAAGAGACTTTGGGGTGGACTTGGGGGTGGAACCAAGTGGGAGCTGGAACTAGGATGATGGGCTGCCTTGTAGAAGTCGTGCTTGTAGAGGGGTACAACTTCTACACAGAGATGTGGTGCTGAAGTTGGCAGGCAGGGGAAGTTGAGAGCAAAGTCTGAGACAGACTGCTCTCCTACCCTGTGATCTGCTAGGGCCTCCCACTGGCCAACAGCAAGTCCAGGAGATGCAGTCCACAAGGGTCGGCATCCTGGGGCCCCAAAGTGGGGCAGAGACAGGAAAAGAATGAGAATGGACTGGAGAAGGGATGAAAGAGATATCAGATGATCTAAATGAGTTCATGTCTCTAACTTCCTGCGTAAAAGGAACTTAAATATAGGCAGGTGTCATTTGTGAATGGCACTTTAAAGTTCTATCAAATCATTTCAAAATTAAGGTTAATTTATACCTTACTTGTAGACCCCATTTAAATCCCACAATTTATGATTTCTTATCGGATTCTGCAGTCTCTGTGTGAGCTAAATTTAGAACTCATTTGAAGGAACTAGGCAATTAAAAGCAAAATATCTTGCCAGACGATGTGCAAGATAAGGATGATGAGACTGGCTTAAGGCTTCTTTTAGAAACAGAATTGGATGTTGTTAGTTTTGTGATGAAGGCATGATTGGCAATTAACAGAAAACCTGAGCTGAACTACAGAGAAAATGTGTAGGAGGATTATGTGTATCATTTGGGAAACATTTCTAAACAACTTTGATGCTCATCAAAGCCCAAGGGCTCCAGCCTACATTATAAACGATTATTCATTCATACATACCTTCTTCAGAAGTCCCTAAAAAGCTCTCTGACTTCCTTCTCTCTGGCTTAATGCCTTCTTCCTCTTTTCTCTTCTTTTCACCAACTTCTTGATCCTTGGTATTTGTCTCCCTTCAATGACAATGATTTTTGGTATCAAACTGTATGTACAATAGCCAGTGAGAGGCCCCATGGATATGCTCCAAAGGAAACATAATAGCAGCTAGCACTAATGGAGTGCTCCCTATGGGTCGGGCATTGGTTCAAGTGCTATAATATATATTAACACACTTAATTCTCAGCACAACTATATAATGTAGTCACCACTACCATCCCCATTAATTGATAAGGGAACTGAGGCACAGAGAAGTTAAATTTCATGCCTAGTAAGTCCTAGGGCTGGGATCCAACCAGTGGCAGTCTGTCTCAGACTCTGCTCTCAACCACTAGGCTATATTGTCCCAAAGAAAAAAGTATTTCACTTAGATTGTAATTGGTGTCCTTCTACAACCACCACTTTAATACCTTATCTTCATTTCCCGAATCCCTCTCTGAAGTGAAATACCTAATTAAAGTATCTGACAGTTTAAGACTGCATCTGTCAAACTAGTAAGCAGAAACCATCTCCTCTACTCAACTATAAGCTCCTATCCCTTGGCACCTCTAGCCCCTAGCACAGCACTCGGCTTGTTGCTGGTGTTCAACGGATGCTGGCTTAACCAAACTGACACCATTAAGAGATTTTTCTTCTGTTTTCATTCAGTGGATATTCAAAACGAATAATGTAAAATCTGAGAGAAAATAAAGCCAGCTAGAGGTGGAAACATTTTTTTCTTCCTAACCTCTCATCACTAACAGGATCATAGGCTCTACAGTTGGAGGAGGACATCAGGTTATCATCTATCTCCATCCAAATGCCCCAGACCAGAGTGAACCGGCCTGTACTTGAAGAGGAGGAGCTATTGTCAAAGTGCGTGCCAAGGCAGCTGTTTTCTCTACCAGACAGCTATGGCTATGAGAAAGTTTGTGCTTTACTGAATAAAAATCTCCTACTCTGCAGTTTCTAGTCACTAGCTGTCCTTTGGGGCAGAAAAAAAGCAAGCTGACTTTCTTCACTTTACAGTATTTCAGATATTTGAGGGCAGCTATCAAATTCTCCACTCCATCTGCTCTTCTCAGGCCAAGCCTCCCCAGCTCCTTCAGCTGTTCTCATAAGACATGGTTTCCAGACCTCTGACTGTTCGACGACCCTCCTCCTCTCTTTGTGAATGTCCCTTTTACTTTTTTTCTTTTCTTTTTTAAATTATTTATTTTCTTATCATTTATTATAGTGACGTTGATTAACAAAATCCAGTAAGTTTCAAGTGTACAATTCAACAGTAAGTCATATATATATTGCATTGTGTGTTCACAGCCCATAGTTAGATTTCTTTCTGTCACCACATGTTTGACTGTGAATGCCTCTTTTAAAATGCAACACCCAGGAAAGAGCCCCACACTGTGTCTCAAAAGCCCTCTCCCCAGCATGAGACATCACCTTGATCTAGACAGCACATTTCTGTTTGTTCAGCATTAAGGCTGCATTGACACTTTTATCGAGGCCTCATGGAGTCGTTCTCCATGTCTTCTTTAAAAAGAATTTCTTGAATTCTTACCATGTCTCAAAATGCATGCTAAATACTGGGCATATAAAAATAAGACATACTTACTGCCTTCAACAAAATCACAGCGAGTAGAAGCTTCTGATGAAAAAATTCTCTATTAGGTCAGCTCTCTCACATTCTACACTTTTGCATCCAAATGCTCACCTTCATCTTTTAGAGAAATCTAACATTTCCACCTGTCAAGACCATTTTCAATCCACAGGCTATCACCCATCACATTGGTATTCATTTTAAAATTGTGTTATCTAAAAATTTGATAAGCATGCCTTTTCTGATTTAATTCGAATGACTGATGGAAATGTTGAAGGTGACAGGGCCATCTTAGAGGCCTCTCTTTATACTGATATCAACCTGCTAATCAATATCCTGAGCACTGTTGGTGGTTGGTGGAAGGGCAGACAGAAGTCAGGTCTGGCTTATCTACAGCAATGTCAAGCCATCGCCGGACATTCATTCTCTAACAAGTAGAGGTATCTTTTTAAAAAAACAAAATCTGGTCTCCCATCCTGAGAAAGAAAAAAATGAAGGTCTGATGGAGAACAGTAAGCAACCTTGCAGAGCCCTTGGGGAGATCCTGTGGCTCCGTGCTGTCCTCAGGTGGCTGCAGCCATCTTTCCAAGTCTTCATCAAGAGTAGAGTGAGCTCTGTCCAAGGGCATGTGAAGAAAATTGAGACAACAGTCATTTTCCTTCTCCCTTGATAAGGAGGCACAGCACTTCAGAGTGGGCAGAGACTTTCAAACCTGTACTTTCACTATACATAAAGAAAACAAGACCCTTGGCAAGATCGAATCTAGAGTTGTAGAGGTCACCGAGATCTGATTTAAACATGCACAAAACCCTCTTTACGCCTTGACAAAAGGCCTCGGCACCCATGAGATCACTACCTTCCAAGTCTGGTGGTAGACTGTCTCAATTCTTAGTCATTAAGTCAATTTCCACCTGAGGTGCAACTATACACTTATTCCTATAAGTTTTTTGGATTAAGAACTGCCTCTGAGGCTAAAGGATGCAATTATGTTTTCAGAAGGCTGGAGAAGCCCCACCCATCTGAAAAATATCTTCCACTCTGGCTTGGTGCCGAGGACTGAGGTGATGGAGCATCTGTGGGCATCTCTCTGTGTCCAGCACAGCCAGCCCTTTTGGAAAAGGAAGAGACAACCATAATGTAGCTAACTTTATATTTATATAAAGCACTTTATATTTATATAATCAAATGTAACTCGGCCTTCTTGAGCTACTTTTGTCTCGAATAATGGTATAGATGTTTACTGAAGGTGTTTTGGAGAGATGAAAACACTGGAGTTACATTATACATATGGTCAAAAGATCCCTAAAAGTTAAAAAAATATTTATCTTCCTCCTCCTTTGCCTCTTTTTCTTCTCCGTTTTCCCCAAAACCCTATCCCTACTTCCTCACCGGTCCCAGGGCTCCAATCTCCTTCTCCACTTTCCCAAACCTTCCCT